TCAAATTATTGCCCGTGTCGACAAGTACATTTTAACTGCAAACTACATACTTCTGTATTTGATAGATCTTTTGTACCACTGTTCAAAATAGTAGAACCATGCTGATTGATAATTGACTAATATGATTTGTCACCTGTACTTGTATACTGATGATCAACATATGAAGCACTTGACGATTTTTCGATAAAACAATTTAGGTATTCCGAGACTCCTAATGAGGCTAAGATGGCGTGTCCAGTTTGTCGAGGATCTTGTACATGTAAATATTGTCGGGCAGGTCTTAGTAAAGACAATGAAAGTAAGGTCTGATATCAAAAGATCGATACTTTTTCTGTTAGGATAGTTGTTTCTTTAGCACAGTTGTTGACACTTCAATTTTATCCCTTCTTTTTTCAGGACCATTTGGCTGGGAGAAATAGTGTTGATAGGATATTGCATTTTCATTATTTAATTTGCATGCTCCTTCCTGTACTAAAACAAATAAGTGAGGAGCAGCGTACAGAGCTAGAAACAGAAGCGAAAAATAAAGGTAGTAACTATAGCTCTTCTGACTTGATGGTTTATGAATAAGTTTTGTTTATTAGATACAACTATCTTAGACGACTTATGTTTGGCAGGAAAAAATATTTCTGATATTCTCATCAAGCAAGTCGAATTTGGCCGCAATGAGAAAAATATCTGGTAATCTTTTTCTGTTACTGTCGTGAAATTTCAAACCATTTTCTAATGCTTCTTTCTAACAAGTATATATTGAACACTTGTCTCAGCAATTACTGCAACTCGTCAATTCTGAATCTTCACAGAAGCTGTCTGAGCTGTTCCTACAGTCTCTGCTTAAGATGTTGCCAGGCATTAAGTCAGGGGAGCCCTTTTGAGCATATAAATTTGACGACTGAGATACCTGACAAAATGGACGCTTGCATCATTGATAATGAAAGTTACCCTTCGGATGATAATACTATTTCTAGCGATGATGTAACTGATACTTCATTGTTATCTGATTGGACTGGTTGTAATGGTACTACAGACAGTGTATCATGTCCTCCTACAGAGCTAGGTGGTTGTGGTAATACCCACCTTGACTTGAGATGTGTTTTTCCTTTAAGTTGGATCAAAGAAATGGAAACGAAGGCTGAAGAAGTAGTTTGCAGCTATGAAGTTCCTGAAATTTTGGATAAAAATTCAAGTTGTTCACTTTGTATAGACACAAATCATAAAACCAACAGACATAAGCAATCACAAGAAGCGGCTCAAAGAGAAGATTCTAATGATAATTGCTTATTTTATCCTACATCTTTCACCATCAGTTCGGATCATTTCGAACACTTTCAGAAACACTGGGGAAAAGGCCATCCTGTAGTAGTCCGAGACGTGCTCCGAAGTACAAAAAACCTCAGTTGGGATCCTTTGGTCATGTTCTGTGATCATCTTGAGAATAGCATTTCAAGATACGAGAATAATAAGGACTTACTTGAAGCTTGTTTGGATTGGTGTGAGGTCAGTATAAACTAATTGCGTATGCTAAACCGATATAAACTAATATTTGTTCCAATTAATGTGTTTAATTTCTATAGTTATTTGTGTTGATGACTGGATAGCATTGGTGCATATAGATAATGCCTGTTCAATACTGTTATTCACGTTTTTAATGATAATGGAGCTTCTTGAACCAAAAAACCATTTTTTAACTCTTACTCTTGCAGGTGGAAATTAACATTAGACAGCACTTTACTGGATCTCTTAGATGTCGACCTCAGAAAAATGATTGTCATGAGATGCTGAAATTAAATGGATGGTTATCTTCTGAACTATTCAGAAAACAGTTTCCAGATCATTTTGATAAAGTAATTGATGCTCTTCCACTTCAAGAATACATGAATCCCAGGTCCGGTCTTCTGAATTTAGCGGCATATATGCCAGATGGGAGTGCAAAACATGACAAAGGACCATATGTCCATATTTCTTATGGCTGTGCTGACAAGGAAACTTGTTCCGTGCTAAATCTCTCTTATGAACCATATGATGTGGTATGTTCCCTTTCTATGTTGCATTTGGTTTCTCGAATATATCTGGAATAAAAGTTTCCTAAATTTTTAATTTGTTTCACTGAAGTTTGGAATGGAAAAGTTATCTCAAATACCACAAAATACGCTTCTTCTGATTTTTGTTTTGCGTGCAGAATTTCCATGATCATATTCTATGCATGTATCCTGTCATGATAACTAGGCTACTCATATTTTTTTAATAAAAAGCATCCTCTTGGTTGGAATGCTTTTCACATCGGATGCTCGTACGTCCCTTGCATATCAAGAAAACCATGTTCCTTGTAGTATATTCTTGGTGAGGTCTGCAAATGAAAACATGAGAACTTTAGCTATTGCAACTAATAAGTCATGCTGCATCTTATACTCTTATCATCATTCAAATTTTACAATTGTTTTTCGTTTTAATAACCTTGTGTGTGTGGTTCATAGTTAATAACATTGCTCCATGTCTCAATTGCACTTTTCATAATACAGTTTTATGCAGATAACAAATGCCATTTACTATGTCTGATTTTATAATTCCAGGTTGATATTATGGCATATACCACAGATGCTCCTCTCTCTCCAGACCATCTTACTAAAGTAACTAGGTTATTGAAAAAGCATCAAACTCTGTGTCAAAGTGGGTCGTCAATGATTACTACCGAGCATGTAGAAGACAAGGAACAAAGGGAAATAGATAGTATTGCCATGGAAGGAACCGGCTTTTACAGGAGAGTCAATAGATCATCTTACATTAATGAAGTCAAAACAATACCTAGTCAGAGTTTAGAGGATAATACTTCCAACAATGAAGAACGTGTTTCTTGTTCAGATTCAGATTCCGAGAAAACACTAAGCTCTTTACCTCTCCACAAGACAGTTCGAAGCACTGAAATGCATTCTGTTGCTCAGTGGGATGTCTTCCGAAGACAGGATGAACAGAAGCTTCTAGAATATCTCAAAAGACATGCTGATGAATTTTCTTGTGCCAGTGAACATCACGGCAAGAAGGCAAGTTACAAATAAGAAAATACCTTAACAGATCCTATTTGAATTGTTAATAATTGGTTTTATCTCTCATTATGCAGATGGTTCAGCCAATTCTAGATCAGAGCATCTTTCTGGACACTACTCACAAAATGAGACTGAAGGAGGAATTCAGTAAGTATATCATAATCCATATTTCTGTACCATCTATCATATGCCTCTATTGACTTACCCTTCATTGTTTTCAGATATTGAACCATGGACCTTTGAGCAACGTGTTGGAGAAGCTGTTATCGTTCCTGCCGGATGTCCATACCAGATTAGGAATTCTAAGGTCTCTACTAAATTAGATTATTAAACATTTTCTTATCTGATCTGTCTTTTCTAGACAATTTAAACAGAAAAATATCTCAATTTTTCTTGAATGGGATATAGAACATGATTTATATACTTCAAAGTTTTACACTACTAGTCAATTTAGACAGCATGATATTATCATCTCAATTTTGATTTAGGTAGTAAATCACTTTATCTCAAATTGTATGGATATATGACAAGTATTTGATTCTTGACCTGCAGTGTTGTGTTCATGTGGTATTGGACTTTATGTCTCCTGAGAATGTTGCGGAATGTATCCAATTGACTGATGAGATCCATTTGCTTCCTGAAGACCATATAGCAAAAGTAGACATGCTGGAGGTAAAATACATATCAATTCATTATTACTTTTCATTTTCTACATTCTTCTTTCAGCTGCAGGCGAATTAACAAAAATCTGTTTCTTCGTTCTTGTTCGTGGAAACAGGCGAGGAAAATGGCTCTTAATAGTGTGGAGACGGCGATAAAAGAAATACATGAGCTCACTTCCAATCCCAAATCATGATTGAACTTAGTTAAAATATATTCTTAGATAACTCCAAACTATGTAGTTTTCTTTATTTATAGAGTTATTATCGAGAATCGTTAGTCTTTTTCATTTATAGATTTATTATCGAGTATCGAGTATCTAGCATGGTACTTAAATTGTTTAGTTCTTTTTTACTTTAGGTGCTTCAGTTTATTACTTTCAGATTCTATTCTTTTTTTTTTAGTTTCTGGTGACATATACCTTACATGAATTTGAAATAAATAACTTCATGGTCTATAATATTTCTCCAACTGTTGAATTTTTAAAGTGAATCAGTTCAAATGCTGTGTTTTGAAAAGGGAATGCGACTACAATGTCCTGAAGTGGGTTTTAAGTTATAAATTTTGGTTTTACTCGTATATTGTATTAACTGAATTACTGCTGAAATGATGTGTAATAGAAAGTGTAATAATAACAATCAACAACATTGTGTGCACATGCTTTATAAACCCGTGAATAGAATAGAAGTATCTTATGCTAATCAGTGTCCTATGACATTCGTTTAACAGTGCTCTAAATTTTGTCTTAAAAATACAAGTCAAACACTTTTTGAACAAGTATCATATTTTGTATGCAAAATTTCCTTTTGGTTAATTAATCAATGGGAATGCTTGAGGGTCCTTGTTTATATATACAACTGCTGTTTATGTCCATCGACATTTTGAAATGTTGAACATGTCAAATCAGTATGATATTTTACTTATTCTAACAAGTTTCAAACAATGATAGGAATCGTGTGGAATATGGTCGATATACTTATAAATTTGTTATCATACATTGTAAGTAACATAACAGGATCACAAATCCTTTCGTGGTTCATCTTGCAGCTACAACATTTTATTCTTTCTACTTTCATTTTTCTCGTAAACTTTGATTCTCACAAAATTACAGCTGGAAATTAAAGAAAAAAAATACAGGGGATAGATTTTTAAAAGAATGAATTTAAAAAATAAAAAAAAAACAGAAATAATTGGCAATCTTGAGGGAGCCCTTAGAACATTGAGATGTTTTGGGGGTTATGTTGTCAAAATTGTTTCTCAAGAGCCTCATCAACCAAAGAAAGAAAAAGCCTCCGCTGTTCAAGGGGCCATAAGTCCATCAATTGTGTAAGAAAGGTCCTTTGCCCAATCAGCTCTAAGCAGCAAAGTCTGCAGCGTCTGCATCACATTGTACCCGGGATCAAGCTTTCGCTGCCAACCCTACAAGATATATATAATTACAAATATTAAGCGAATCACGTCAAACTTCCAAGTTTTTTAGTCACATTATAATAATATTAGAGAAGATGGCAAACATAAGATAAATAGTTACCTCAAGAACTAAGGTTGTCACCATGACAGTACAAACATTACCATCAATATTAACTCTATGACGCCTAACTTTCTCAAGTAACTGCTCCATGCACTCTGCAGGATGAACTATGTCACCTTCAGGGGTGCCCCAAAAAGTAAACGACTCCTCCACTTCCTGTTAGAAAACAAAGGTAATAATGAGTGAAATAGTGCAAGATTCATAGTCAAGGAGTCCATGAGCACATGCAAATTCTTCGTAAAATAAAATGATATTCAACATTCAATATATGATTTATTCATCACTTGTATATATGTTTTGTTTTGACAATATTACAAAATAAAGCCATAATGAATGCATGAATTGCATTCTGTAATGAATGTGAGACTATGGGATAAAAATTTTGATAATGTATTCAGAAAAAAATTGACAAAGCAAGTTGGAAAAACAATTACCTCAATAAAAGCCTTTGGATTAGGGCAGTTCTGTTTCTTTGATAAACTGAGTGCGCATTCTGCAGCAGTACGGCCATCCCGGCGGGCAACAGATTTGAAAAATTCAAGTAAGTTTACCCTATCACTACCAGAGAGTTCAGCAGTCATGCCTACATCTAGAAAAATTACATGAGGCTTTGATTTGAAAAGTCGTTTGCTAGACTTTCCCCGAACAAGGATATTTCCAGGATGCATATCTGCATGAATGAAGTTGTCCACCTGGAAGAAGACATTACATGGTTAGGCTAGAAGTTTATGATGTTCCATATTTAAAACTGCTATGGGAACTATGCTGCTTTTACTTCATATTAAAGATTAGGATGTATATGGTCATTAAATAAGATTGAACATGTGCAGTCAAAAAAACACTCTCTAGATCTTTGTTAATGACCATCCCCAATGTTTCTAGATCTTCCTATACCCTAAACCTTCAGTTGCACGCAAAGACATTTCTAATCCCAGTAAAGTCATTCTCTAACAGACAGAATCTGTACAGAAAAGGATTTTTATCGCAATATTTCTTGACAAAGAAAAGGGAAATTAGAAAACTCAAAGTAACACTATTGTTTTGTCAAACTTACATTTATATGTTACCCTAATATATCTCTAACACTAGGACCGTCAGACCAGACGGCCAGTCTGGTTCAACCAAGAACAGGACACATAACAGGTACGGTCCTCCTATTGGATCGGACATGCATGCAACCCGGATCTGATATTATTGACTCGCAAATTTTTTTAGTACATATTGACTCGCGAGCTTGAGGTGACTAGTAAATTTTAATTCATGATGTGAACAATTTTCTAGCTGACAGTATAATGACATTGCAAGGTCGTCTTTATTTTTATGGCGCATTATAAATGAGCAATGCCCAAAATGACTATCCAAAACCACACGATAACAATGGCATCAAAATTTGCAAATGAAATATATTTTACCAGAAGCATCTTCAAAAGTGCATGAGTCCCGATGTGAGCAAGAGCAGATTTAAAATGTTCGTGTCCTTGAAAATCATCAACATAATGTGAGACACTTTCTCCCTTTTCATATGTTTCTACCAAAACAGCAGGGTGGACAAGTGGATAGACAGGCTTAGGGAAAGAAACATCCTTCCAGCTGCGGAAATTATAAATGAAGCGGTTTAAATGGGCAGCTTCCCTAGCAAGGTCAACTTGGGACATCATGAAAACTGCAAACTGTTGCACACTCTCATCTAATCTTAACCACTTAAGAGCGGGAATGAACATGGAAATTTTTGCCGCCGTATTGATAATCGCAAAATCCCTTCTGATCGACTCTCCCACACCAGGATGTCTAACCTTCACAGCAACCACCAACGGTTTTGCTTGCTTACCAGGATACCGATATTTTAATGTAGCACGATGCACTTGAGCAATGCTTCCAGATGCAACTGGAACCTCTTCAAAATTTTCAAAAATTTCGGAAATTTTTCGGTTAAATGCTTTTTCTATGGTTTCCTTTGTGTAGCTGAAACTATGCTCAGGAGCTTTACTATGAAGTTCAGAAAGCTTGGTGCATAGATCACGAGGAAAAAGATCAGGACGCGTAGCTGCCCACTGACCCCATTTTATGAAAGCAGGACCTGCTTTTTCTAGTGTTTGAAGAACAACACTGAGCCACAGTTTCCTAAATTTTGGTCCAAAATAATCTGCAAACGGTCCCATCACAATGCTCGGAAAGAACAATACAGCTATATATAAAGCCCTCACTAATAAGACAACACCTTCAACTATCATGAATGTAAACGTAAACATGTAATTATACCCATCTCGTGCACGCATATACAATGCATCATGTGATGGGTAACGTTCTGCATCTCCCCATCTTCGTTGAGACAATGCAAGCTCTCCACATGCAAATGCAAAAATACCAGGAACCAGCAAATAAGAGCGAGTCAGAGACAAGCTCACTGCTTGAGCAATCATATTTATGGTGGGAGAAAATGTACTATCGCCACTGGAACAGTACTTTCTGTACAGCCTTTTCCAAGCAATCTGAGAATGATGTGTGACTTCATTACTTGCTGAGCTTACAGAAAAGTTTCTAAAAGTACAGCATTTGTTAAAGGTTTCCCTTGTCGCAAGCCACCAAAATGAACTACGTGCTGCACTATGAAACTTATAATGCATGTAGAACCGGCAGTGGTGAGTATTTGGTCCAACCAAGGCAATTGGCCCATTTTTACTCACTTCCACGTATCTGCCGCTATTTATTCTATGAACAGATTGGGCCGCTCCCTTTATTTTTCTAAGCATCAAAAATCTGCAAACGAATAATCATGTCAATGACAAGAATATTTTCAATAATTAAAACCATAAATATGGTAAACAAATCATTGCTATGGAATGCTAGTTACAGAGGCTTCTCTTCACTCATAAGCCAGAACCACAAAAAGCATAAAAAGTAGATTAGCGTCAAGGGTGCATTTGGTAGAGCTTATTGAAAGCTTATTGTTTTTACTGTTTGTCTTATGCAATAAACACATGTAAATATAAGCATTTGAGAGAATTTATGAAAATAGCTTATAACATCTACATAAGTGGTTTCACAGCTTATTTCAATAAGTTCCCCGATATACAACAACAACAACAACCATGCCTTATCCCACTAAGTGGTGTCGGCTACATGGACCCACTTCCGCCATAATGTTCTATCTTGGACCATGCCTCTATCCAAATCGTTAATCTCAAGATCTTTCTTAATAACTTCTCTCATAGTTTTTTAGGTCTTCCTCTACCTCTAACTGTTTGATTCCTCTCCATCTGACCCACTCTCATTATCATAGAATTTACAGGTCTTCTCTCTACATGCCCAAACCACCTAAGTCTATTTTTCACCATCCTTCCTCTTCAATTGTAGAAATAACTTTTTAAGAGCACGGAAATAACTTATTCAATAAGCACTTTATTTATCTATTTTCTCAACCACACTCTAACTAAATATTAGATGAGTAAACTAAAAGCCCATTCCTCCAAAAGGCATCAAGAGGCTCAAGACTAAGTTCTATAAAACAAGGGGTGAAAACTAAGTTAGTATAGAGTATAAAATGCCCAAACTACTAGTTCCTCATTTCTTGGAATATCCACCACCACCCATTTGTGGAAACTTAATGAAGTTAGATATTACAACTGTGAAGATAATGACTGTTGTTTCTATATCACTTTTTTTATAGAATAATTCAGATCTATACCTCTCAAATGTAAAGAAGATAACCAATTAAAACATCACACAAAAAATAGGTTAGATCCAAAGAGAACAATTTCATTAATCCGAACAGATAAACATGAGATGAATCCATGAAGAATCAGCAGTTATAACTTCTTAGGTACATAGAATTCAAAAATAATTAATAGGAAATTTAACGATTCATAGTAGTATCTAATTAACCCAATGAAAGAAAAGAAATAGACTAATTTGTTTTCTCACATGGAACTGAAACTCAACCCCAGAAAGAAAAGAGCAGTTTTTTTTATCTAGGTTGATGACATAAACGAAGCAACCCCAACGAAAGCAAGAAAACGAAACAAGTCGAATGAAATAAGCATAGTTATTACCGCAAAATGCAAAAGGAAAGGAAATCGGAAAAGAGAAGAGAGAGAGAGAGAGAGAGAGAGAGAGAGAGAGAGAGAGGAGAACCTTGGAAGAAAGACAACATGCTAGTTTGGTGAAGAGATGGAAGAAGCGATGAAGTAGCTGAGCCTCAGTTTTGTGCGATTGTGATTGTGGATGTATGAATGGGAATGTGAAAAGACGTTCTGTTTTAGAGGCGGTTATGAATCATGTAAGAAAAGAAACCCTAAGGTCCAAGAAATTCATCTTATTTTAAATAATATCTCAATATTTTTTAAAAATAAAAAACAAAAAATATGGTAAAAAATATTGTTTGTAGAATAAAAAAATTGATGCGGAAAATGTACTCGAGATTTTTCATTTTTTTTAGTATAAACTCCTTTATCATTCGAATTTAAGTGTTTGATTAACTTTATTGTTTTTAATTATATAGTTGGTGCGTAACATAATTAAATAATGTATAGTAATTAAGATTAATAGTAAATCGAATCAATTTAAAAATAATTTGAAATTTGGTTCGAAGATTAATTCTTTGAATTTGATTTATAAATTTAATGAGTTTAATATGAGTTGACTTTGAACTATAAATAGTTCGATTAGTTAAGTTCACGAACCAACTCGATTATATATGAAAAGGATTGTATTATTTTTAAAGGGAGGTTTAAAGATTTAATATAAACTTTAATCTTATATTTTATTTTAATTTAATAGTATTAAATTGATAATTCATATTTTTAAGTGAGCCAAATATTTCTAAAAATAATTATATAAATAAGATCATCATATAAATTAATTAATTTTTAAATTAGTAGATTTTTGTGACAAAGTTAAATTTCAATTTAATAATATTTTTTTATTTTAATATATTTTTAATAGTATTAATATAAAATGTTAAATATATAAAAAATAGACTAGAAAAAATAACTTTTAAATTTGTGAATCAAACGAGATGAATTTAACGAGTCGAATCAAGTTGTTCGTAAATTTAAAATGAGTTAAGTTTGAGCTTAAAAAAAATTCATATCAAACTCGAATCAAAATTTGAGTTGAACCAATTTTTAATGAGTCGAACCGAACTGAGGCGAGTTCGACTCAAATCGGTTCATATCTAGCCCTAATAATAATATAAAATATGAGATCATATTTCTAAAAAATATTTAATTTAATTGATAAATAATATTATTATTAAAACATTTTATTTAACTTGTATCATAATTGTCTATAAAATCTAAGTTTTACCATCCATTGAAATAAACATGAAAGCTTAAGCTTTTTGTTTTGAATAGCATTTGTACAAACATAAAAGCATTACTGTTCCTATAAAGGAGTTAATGGGTGCAAAAATAACAACGATTCATAGCCACACTTTGGTACCGTGTCACGGAAGCTACCTATGCACAGCGTCTCTCTTTTTTAGTCGGTAACAACGTGTCTCTTTTATGAGTGCATAAATTAGTTTATATATATATATATATATATATATATATATATATATATATATATATATATATATATATATATATATATATATATATATATATATATATATATTTCATTTGTATTTTTTCTATATCTCAAAATAAATATCTCTTTAGAATATTAATATCAATGCAACTTTTATTATTTTTTACACTATTGTACTTCTATTTATTTCACGCTATTCAACCACTTCATTAACTAAAAAAAATAAAAATATTTTAGTAATAAAAGAAATATTAATTTTATCATTAAAGTATGGATCACCCCTAAAACATTAGTAATTGTTGGTTTAAAGTGTGAACGACTAAGTCTCACACAATCTAAATAGGTAGAATGTTGAATTTATAAAGTACAAGGCTCATATACCTGATGTTTTAAGTTTTTGGATGGAGATATAATATCTCTCTCTCTATCTCTCTCGGTTCTATAACATTTGGCCAGTTTATGTTCCTTACTTTCTTGGACTCCTCAACAAGTAGTATTAGAATCATGGTTCATCTTGGTGGGATAGTGAAAGTTGGACCTTGTTATAGGATGTGTGATACTCGCAGTTGTGGAAAAGCTTGGTGAGTGACTAAGTCATATATTGCCTATGAATGGGTAGAATGTTAGATTTATAAGAGAGGATAATCATATACTTAATTCCTTAGGGTTTTGAGTAGAGATGTGATGTTTCTCTCTCTTGTGATCCTAGAGCATTGAACTCGTTGTTGCTCATGGATTTCCTGGACTCCCCGACAACAATTGCCCATAACCATATACATCATAATCTTTAAGTCATTTTTTATATTGAGGTGCATGTCCTACATTTCAACATAAATATTGTCGCAAGATTCAAAATTCCTTATATAACTCTGATTCATCTTCCTTTCAAATTGCAGAATAACATGTCACATCATGCAAGGTCACCATATCCCTTGCAAGTACCATCACCGTTAAATTTATCCAACAAACAGGGAGCATTAACCAATGTAGATTGTCTTCTGGGGTAGTTAAAGGTTTGAGAATAGAACATTTATATTCCTCTTGTGAAATTTTGAATAGTCAACATAAGATCGTTTGGGCGTTGAAAATTATCTTCAAAAATAATTGTGTTCTGCCATGTCCATAAGAACCAGCAAGTGGCCATGAAAGTATTTTCTAATTCATATCAATAGTTCCAATTTGTCTCCTTTTGATATTAGAGAAAATCCAAATCCAGTAATTAAAAAAATTATATGATTGGCGGCAAAATTATCACTATTATCCTCTACTTTCTTTATTTTTGACGACGAACTTTTCAAGAAAATATCCCACTTTTCTTCTTTGACCTTTTCTTTCTTTTTTTGAGCTTACTTTGCGTATAGTGAGACGTTTCAGTTAAGTTTCATGTTCAGTCAGCTTTCAAAACAATTGTGTGATATTCAAATTATTGAGATCATTTGGTTCTTTAATGGTTGTAACCATTGGTTGTCATTCCTTGCACAGAGATATTAAAAAATATGTTAGCATAATATTTGTTAGAAAATGACTTTCCCAATTTTCTAACTTGTTGATTAAATGAAGAAAACGAGTTTCTATGGCTTCCACGATGTCACCGAGTTTCATACAAAAATGTTCATACTCCTCTTTAAACATATTAATTTTAGAATCCTTAACGTCTTCAGTTCCCTCATAGAGGACTTAAAGAGTGTTCCACATTGATTGTGCACTCTTGTGATATGAGATGGAGTAATATACTTTAACAATTAAAATAGAGATAAGTATATCCCTCTTCTTTAGATCATATAATGCCTTTTTGCTTTCATCATCTGGCCAATCTTTTGGGAGTTTAACAAAACCATTAACTTTTTTTTTGGGGAACAAAAGGCATGTCAGTGATTTCTACCCAATTCATTTTGTCTGCTAACATCAAGTAAATGTACATATTGTCATTCCAATAAGCATAATTTTCACCTTATAAAATTGGGGCTCTTGTAACGCCCTAGACTTCTTTCGAGATTATCAACTGAACCCACAAACCAACATAGGTCTTTTCAACATGTTTTATTCTCACTCATATACTTTTTTAGAAACTTCAAAGAAGATCACCCATCCCAAAATTACTCCAAGTCAAGCACGATTAATCATGGAGTTCTTATGGAATGGGCTACCGAAAAGAAGATGCATCTTATTAGTATATGTAGTATCAATTAATCCTTATAAGCTTTCCTTCAACCATGCAGTC